AGGAGGACACAGGGCTTTACTCAAACGACAAGTAACCCACATGGACTTTCTGTGGGCTCCCGCCACCCTAGCGCACCTAGAAACAGTGGCCTGCCAGTACTTCCCAAAGCTCATCAGATATTCCTGAAAGAGAGGGCACCGAAACCAAGATGAAATCACATGAAGATAGGAAATTAAGCCAGGAAACAGCTCTTTGAAGCCCGAGTAATTTGTACAAAAATTTCCAGTCTCCAACACAAGTATTCCATGGGGGTGAGCCCCATATATATAGTTGTGACATGGATCTAAATCATGAGTTTTGATGAGCTGTAGCATGTTCATATTGAAATAAAAAAATAAAATGACCCCTTATTAGTGTCAATGAAAACAAAAGGACTCATGATTAGTTCTTATATAAAGAGGAAATAGAGAACAGGACATGTTTTAGTTCCCTGGATAGGGCCTATTTCTGAATATCTAAGCTATCCTCTGAGCCCAGATCCCTTCATGAACATTTCATATTGTAGCTCATTTCATAGTGCAGGCTTTCTTCCTGCTATGGCTTCATGTGTCCTCCAAAGAGCTTGAATGAGAAACTCAATCCCTAATACACAGTGTTGGGAGGTGGTGTCTACTGACAGGTGATTAAGCCATGAGGGCAAAGTAAATACAGGAACACCATTATTGTGGGAGGGGCTCTTCTAAAAGGACAAGTTCAGCTCCCTTTTGTTCTCTCACCTTCTCTTGCTTTTCTGCATCTGCCCTGGGATGATGTAGCAATAGAGCCCTTGGCAGATGTCGGCATTTTGATACTGGATCATCCAGCTTCCAGAACTGTGAGAAATACATTTATTTTCTTTATAATATACTCAGTCTCCATTATGGGAGCACAAAATGGACTTAGACACTCCTTTTGAAAAGGAAAAGGCTTTAGTTGTATACGATGAAAACAAACTTCCTCTCTACTCTCAGCTTAGAACAACACTATATAAAACAATTCTATTCACATGAATTGGAAAATAGTCCTTAAAGTATTTCCATAAAGTCCAGCTTCTGATCCAGTTGGATCTCCTGTCTCCTTGCTCGGGAGGCCGCCAATCAAAGTAGAGCCAAGTCAAATAAGGGAGGTAAAGGAACCAACAGTTGTATATAATCAGTATTATCATGATGCCAACATACACCTGAGCTGCAAGAAAAGGAAAAGCTTCATGGAATCAGGGTCAGTAAATGTCTGTTCCCTCCATTATACAATCATTGGCCCATGGTACAGGGATTTAACACATACCAGGTCTATTCATCTGAGCCTTGGGGTTCAGGTAAGATAATGTAGCAAGACAGCCATGATATTATTTAACATTTATGTGATGTTCATTGTATGCCAAGCATTGTACTTGTACTTTCTGCCTGGATATTTTCATTTATTCCTCATAGCCACAGCACCAATAAAGTAGCCATAGTACTCTTAACATGCTTTTTACCAAACAGAAAATAGAAAGTTAGAGAGGTGAAGTTGTCCAAGTCACACAGCATATAAGACATTGATCTGTCTGAATTCAAGGTTCCCCACTCAGCCATAGCCTTGCAACACCTCCCTGATATAAAATATGGAGGGATCATCACTGACAGGAGGGACAGAGAGAGCCCTATCAACTTGGTTAAAATGAGCTTCTGTCCTCAAATGATATGTCAGGTATCTGAGTAATAGCACCTGATCTTCTGAGATACAGCAGTCCCCCTTATATGTTGGGGATTTGTTCAGTGGATGCCTGAAACCATAGATACTCCTGACCCTTATATATACTATACTTTTTTCCATACACATATACATACAAGGTTTAATTAATAAATTAGGTACAGTAAGAGATTAATAAAAACAACTGGAATAGAATAATTAGAATAATACACTCTAATAGTTGTTAAAAATATAAATTCTTTCTAGAATTTTCCATTTAGTATTTTTAGATCACAGTTGACTACAAGCAGCTAAAACCATGAAAAGCAAAAATTGTGGATAAGTGAGGACTACTGTATATAAATATATACATACTAGTACACATGTGCATATACAGAGACACAGATTACTGTATATAAATATATATATACTGATATACATGTGTGCATACACACAGAGACACATGGATTACTGTACATAAATATATACATACTGATATATTTGTGCATACACACACACATCTGTACACATTTGGCCAATGTGACCATTAATCGTGATTGTCAACTTGACTGGATCAAGAAATGCCTCGCAGATTACTCAAGCACACTTCTGGGTGTGTCTGTGGGGTGTTTCCAGAGGTGACTGGCATATAGTCCAAGAAACTGAGGGAAGGAGGCCCACCCTGATTGTGCGTGGCACCATCCAATAGGCTTATAGTCTTGATGGGATGAAAAGAGAAGAAGGATAAAGTCAGCCTGCCTTTAAAAAGCTCCATTCTGCTTGAAGAAGTGCATCTTATCTGACTGCCATTGCTTGTGGATATTAGACTCCAGTTTCTTCAGTTTTTCAGTGTGGACTCATACCAGCTACTCTCTAGGCAGCTCCCAGACCTTTCCTTCTTGTACTGGTGCTATATCCTTGATCCTTCATGTTTTATGGCTTCCAGCTTCTTAAAACAGCTGCTGAATCCTCCATGTCTCCAACCCTCTTAGGCCATTGCTGCAGGGGCCTCTGAGTGCTTGGATAACTGAGCACTGTGAATCACATCCCAGGCAACCAAATCCCTAGGCAGTTCTAGGGCACACCTCAGGACTCTTCTCAAATGAAAGCTTTACAGCTTTGCACCCTTGAGCTTTTTGGGGGAGGAGTCTTGGTGACATGACCTCGAGCCATTTTTATTATCCTGATACAAAGTACTTGTTTTTTTTTAAGTGATAACCTTTTCAGCAACCAAGCTCTCCTCTGCTTCATATTTGTAGGCACTTTCTTTCTGGAAAAGCTGAAAACTTTTAAAATGGGCTTTCTGCTCTTGGTTTTCAGTATAAACCTGGCTAAAAACCCCAACAGTATTTGTACCACAGCCTCAATACTGGTGCTTGAAATTTCTTCCAACAGATTAATTATTCTGCCACACTAAGTTCAGTCTCCCATAAAGTCTCAAGACATGACCAAAATATAAATTTTTTCCCAGACTGTAACACACATGGTCTCAAGTCCAACTGCTGATGGAGTCTTTGTTTCTAACTGAAACCTCCTAAACCTGGCCTTTGCTGTCTGCATTTCTATCAGCATTCTGGTCTGAGCTCCAACCAGAATCTCCCATCAAACTTGCTTTACAGAATTCTCCAGCTTCTCTAGCTGGCATCTTCAAATCTTTCTAAACTCGTCTGGTGAACCAGTTCCAAAGGCATCTAAATGACATGGTCAAGTACAGTCACAGCAACAACCCCACTGTCAGTACCAAAACTGTCTTAGTCACTTTCTTGTCACTGAGACACAATATCCAACATCTACAACTTAAAGGAGAGGTTTATTTTGGCTCACTTTTTAATCCACTGTCAGCCAGCTCCAGGGAAGAATAGGCATGGCAGAGGGACATAGAAAAGGAAAACTACTCATATTACAGTAGTTAAGAAGCAGAGACAGTAAAGGGGGGAGGGGAGAAGGAAGATATATCCTTCTTAGTCACGGCCTCAGTGACCCATTTCCTCCAATCACCCCATCTCCTAAAAGCAAGTCAGCTACAACACTCTAATAATCCAATCACCTTCCAAAAGCCCCACCTAAGAGCACATGAGGCTCTTGGGGAACATATAGATATAAACCATAACACTCCAATTTTTAGCCAGCCAGTCAGAAGCACAGGTCACAACCTGGACTTTAGATTGACATCTAGAGTAAAGGCAGTCTAGTGGGCTGACTCATTAACTTCTAGGGTCTAATGTTAACTCCAGGTAAAAAGTATCAGAATCAAATTATAGCATATCCACTTGCGTGACTGAAGAGTTGAAGGAAGGATTGGTGTGGGATGGGGAAGGGGGAGAAAGCTTACACTGTCCATAAAAATAAACTCATAATAAACCCAAAATCCATTTTGAGTTTACATCCTAAATGTAAAATGTTAAAAGGATGAAAACCTAGGTGATCTTGAGTTTGTTAATGAATTTTAGACACAACACCAAAGAAACAACCCATGAGTCAGCTGCCACAGCTACTGTGACTATGACTTCTCTAAGTGTGTGAGCTTGGAGGCTGAATATATGGATTTATTGCTGTCACAAACTGCATAGCTCCAGAAGTCTAACCATAGTACAGGAAAAACAGGCCAGACAGTAAATGTTTGTCAAAGTGGTGGAGAAGAGAAGATGGTGGAGTGAAGGTTGGCAGTACATCATAGTCTTTCAAGGATCTAGAATCTTAAAGAAGTCACAAGGAGTAAGAGCTCCAGGAGTAAGGAAAGTGCCACAAGAAAACCAGAGAAACTGGAAAAATTGAAGAAAATACTGAGAAAAAAACCAAAGCAGCCTAGAACTCTAAGCCAACTCCCAGGTTGGAGGGGAAGACAAGCCCCCAAAAGAAGTCTGAACACCAAAAAGACCCTCAAATATTACTCTGAGTGGGGTGAGGAGGGGTATAGACACCAAAATATAACCAAACACAAGAACATACCAAAAGGAAACAGATTCTAACTAAAGAGATCTCTCCACAGAAGGAACAGTTTTTTTCCCCCTAGCTGATCTTCCATCCACAGCAAAGAAAGAAAGAAAGAGCAAGGCAACAAAATGCCCTCTAAAGCCCTCAGCCCCTCAAAAGCTGATCTGAAGGACACTGAAGTGGAGGAAGTTATAAGCAAAGAATCCAAAAACCAAATGGTCAAAATGTTTAAAAAACTCAAAGAAGAGATACACAAGCAATTTCACATTTATATACTTAAAGGGGATTTCATTAAACATATAAAAGATTTTACTAATAAAATGTCCAACAAGCTTAAAGAAGAAACAAGCAATAAACTCATGGAGTTAAACTAGGCAGTACAAAATATGGATGATTAATATGGTAAGGAATTAGAAATTATGAAAAGAAAGCAGGCAGACATGCAAGATATGAAAAATTCAATAGAAAGCATGACTAGCAGATTTGACCATTGTGAGAAAGTGTCTGAAATTGAAGATAAAGTGGATGTAGTAGATCCAAACTCAATGATACCCTAAAAATGACATGGCACTGTGCAGGCCAAATCCAATAGCTGCTAGATGACTCAAAAAATTAAAAAGATTTAAAAAACCAACTAACATCAGAATTATAGAAATATAGGAAAAATTAAAAGACCATTCAAAAGATATAAAAAATGTATTCACTGAAATCATAGCACAAAACTTTCTAAATCAAGAGAAAGAACTCAATATTCAAGTATAAGAATCATACAGAACTGAAATAGCCACATCCAGAAAAGAACCTCTCCATAACACATAATCAAAAATCCAGAAATTCAACAAAGGTGAGAATACTAAAAGGTTAAAAAAAGAAGCATCAAGCTACTTGTAAAGACAAACCTAACAGAAGCGCTTGTTGGCTATATTCATAGCAATCCTGCTTACATTATGTGGCCCATGTACTCTTAACTATTTCTTTGGCTTTGTCTCCTCCAGACTTAAAGCTATAGGCCTACCCAAGATGGCAATGCCTGGTGCCTATCAAGGGCCTTTAGATAGATCCTTTATAGAGTAATTGACTGCTGATCACAACTATGACCCTCTTCAGCAGGAAGTAGCCATAATGGTCTTCTCACCCTCTGCCCCCTCACAGCAGTTAGAGGTACTTCTTGGGGGGGGGGTTATATTACAGATAGATAAGTTAATTAGATATCTTGTGGGCAGTTAGACAGGGCCAGCCTTCAAGAAATCAACATGGAGGACAGTTGAGAAGCCAACTTGGAGGATAACAAGGCACTTTCATTGAAAGCCAGCTTTGTAAAAGAAGAGAACTACCACAACCATGTGTTTCCCCTAAGGCTGAACAGCAGTGATGGATATTGTAAATAGGTATCAATCACCTGGGTGAGGGACAAAGGTCTTCCAAGAAGGATCCCTGACCCACCCCTTATCACCAAAAATCCTTGCTCATTCCTTACATGCTTGCTATGTGAATTGCTTCCCCATTGGATTCCCATTTAATCAATATTACCTAAGCAACTGTACTTGTAATCTTACTAGTTGACTATAGTTTTGTCCCACCTTGAACCTGCCACACCTTGTGGCTTTGTCCCATAAAACACCTTTGAGAAGTTGGGTGAGTGAGTAACCCACTTTCCGGTCCCCCTTCTGTCTCTCTTAGACAGAAGCTTTCCTACCCTCAATAAATTTTTCCTACTTAAAAAAAAAAAAGAGACAAACCTTTCAGGATTACAGATCTCTCAGTACAAACATTAAAGACCAAGAGAGCATGGAATGAAGTTGTTCAAGCCTTAAAAGAAAACAATTAACCTAGATTTCTGTAGCCTGAAAACTTAGCCTTCAAAGTAAATGGAGAAGATTTCCCATGACAAATAAATTTTTTTTTCGGAGTGATTACTTTTTAAAATTAATTTTATTGGTACATTTTAGGTATACAATATAATAACATTCATCATTGGAAATTTGTATCTTTACATAATCTCTCTTGGTTCTTATTTTTCCCCATTCCCCTCATGGAATTTTCCACCATTCCCCTCATTTTCCCCCCATTTCCATGCCCTCCCTTCAACCCCTCCACCTATCACTATTTACAAAGATTTTGTTTCCATTTTTTAATTTTCTAATATTAATTCCATCTTGACAAAGAAATCTTAAAGAAATATATGACCAGAAAATCAGCATTGCAAAAAATACTCAAGGGAACCCCACACAGGAAAAAGGATGGCCACCAGCACCAAAGAGCAAAAAGGAAAGTATATATAGTACCTAATTGGGAGAGTAGTCAAACAAAAGGGAAAAAACCTCAAATCATCACTGTAAACATAATGCAGTGACAAGATTCAGGAAGCATCTTACAACAATAACTTTATTTCAATGGACTTAACTCACCAATTAAAAGACACACACTAGCAAATTAGATTATAAAGCAAAATGCAACCACATATTGCCTATAGGAAACACAACTTATCCAAAAGGAAGCTCACAGACCAACAGTGAAAGGATGAAAAATGATACTCTATGCAACCAGGACCTGAAAGCAAGCAGGAACAGCTGTCTTATTTTCAGACACAAATGGCTTCAAGCCAAAACTGGTCAGCATAAACAAAGATGGTCACTACGTACTGGTAAAGGGAACAATTCAATAGGAAGAGATAACAATTACAAATATTTATGCACCAAGTTTTGGTGAACCCAACCTCATAAAACAAAAGCTACTAGATATAAAGGGACAAGCTGGGCATGATGGTGAAGGCCTGTAATCCTAGCATTCTGGAGGCTGAGGCAAGAGGATTGCTGTGAGGCCAGCCGGAACTACATAGCGAGACCATCTCAAAAAAAAAAAAAGAACAGATAGATACCAATACAATAATAGTGGGGGACAACAACAACCTACTGTCACAATTAGATAGATGAAACAGACAAAAATTAACAAAGAAGTATCAGAGATAACCACACTGTTATTAGGTAGTTCCTTTGGAAATGGCTCACCAGTTAAACTTATTCCAAGTCTTCTTACCTCAAACAAAGAATTGAATGAGACAAGCCAGAAATGGTGGCAAAATTTTATTTGAAAAGTGAAGGGGATAAGAGAAAAACCTGCTCTGCAGAGTGAACTTGGGCTGAACAAAAGAGAGGAAAGGATAAAAGCAAAAATAAAAGTGTACCTTGTGTCTATGAGGAGTCACAATAGCGGGCTCTTTGTGGCATCTGTGTCTTTGTATGTTGTCCACATCTTGTGGGAGCTCAGAAGTTCTACATATGGGGTCCTGGGAGTTATTTGGCGCTGTCCTAGGATCTTATAATGGACAGGTCCTGCTTATTTCCCCAGTCAACTTTGCCATGCCCTACCTCTTATATCAACACCACTGAACAAATGGACTTAACAGACACCTGCAGAGTGTTTCACTCAACAAGCGAATATACATTTTTCTCAGCAGCACAAAGAACTTTTCCCAAAACAGACCATCTCTTAGATCATAAAGCATGCCTAAATAAATACAAAAGAATACTTCCACTGGCCTGGGCTCTGGGCAGGCTCTTAAAAGAGACAGCAACAACTCAAAGAGCAGTGTCCTTCCTGAGCAGTGGGGCAATACTCACATTAGAAAAACAGCAAGTCCAAATATATTACCTAATGACTTACCTCAAGGTCCTAGAAAAACAAAAGCAATCCAAATCCAAAGCTAGTACAAGGAAAGAGATTATAAAGTTCATAGCAGAAATTGATAAAGAGTAAAAAAGCAATGCAAAAAAAAAATCAGTGACTCAAAGAGCTTGTTTTTGAAAGAACAAACAAGACAAATCCCTAGCCAATCTTACCATAGAAAGGAAAGACACAAATCCAGGCAATTAGGAATGAAAAAGGTGAAATCACAATGGATTCTGTCATAATCTAGATTATTAACTACTCTAATAAAATGGAGAATTCAGAAGAAATGGAGAGACTCCTAGATACATATAAATTACCAAAGCTGAACCAAGAAGACACAAAAACTCTGAATAATCTGATATCAGACACTGAGATTGAAAAAGTAATTTTTTTTAAAAAACCCTAACAACTAAAAAAAGCTCATGTCTTGATGGATTCACTGCCAAATTTGACAAGAACTTTAAGGAAGGTCTAATGCCAATAAACTCTTTAATGAAATTGAAAGGGAAAGAGTACTTCTAAATCATTCCTTGGAGCTATCATTACCCTGATTCCAATACTGGAAAAAGACCTAACCAAAAAAGAGAACTACAGGTCAATCTCTAACACAGATACAAAAATCCTCAACAAGATACTGGCAAACAAGATGCAATAAATCGCCACAAAGTCATACATCACTGGGCGTGGTGGAGCGTGCCTGTAATCCCAGCACTCAGGAGGCTGATTAATTTTTGCAATGTGAGTGGGCATCATTCACCCTACTAAGGGCCTCGATAGAAGACAAATGAGCATTTGCTTTCTGCCTGTCTGAACAAAGACGTTAATCTTTTTCCTCAGTGTTCCTGGTTCTCAGGCCATCAGAAAGCACCTATACCAGTAGCTCTCCAGCACTCAGCCCTTCAAACCAACCCATCCACTTTCCTGGGTCTCCATGTGGAAAGACTGTGGGGTTTCTCAGCCTCCAAGACTGCGCAGGCCAATACATTATAACATCCATCCATTTGTTCATCCCCTATGATTATATTTCTCTGGAGAACCTCTATACAGGTATCTCAGCTCCCCAGCTCCACCCCTTCTGTCCCATCCAGAACTAACTAGTCTCATATTTTGTGGTCATCATTTCTCATTTTTTTCTTATACTTTTACCATTTTATTTATATTTGATTAACAGTATGATATTCAGGTCAGCTTTCCTTTACTATAACAAATACCTGAAATAATTGATAAAAACTTAATTTTGGCTCACAATTTTGGAGCTTCAGTCCATTGTGTGCTGGCCTACTGCTTTGGGCCTGTGGCAAATCACCACATGAGCACAAGGCAGAGCAAAATCGTTCCCCTTATGGTTTGGAACTAAAAGAAATCAGGGTCTGTCGTGAGTACCACCCACTAAGCCTCACCTCTTAAAATTTTCCACCATCTCACAGTAGTGTCAAGGAGGGGACTAAGCTTTTAACAAATGGGTCTTTGGGAGACATTTTAGCTCTGAAATAGATGAAGTAGCCTGTTTTTAATGTTAATAGAAATGGCATAATAGTGTACACATTTTTGTGACTTAATTTTTTCTCAGTATCATGATTTATCAAATTAATAAATGCATTCAATTTCCACCACTGTATGGTATTTTTTGGTGAATTTATCATAATGTTCACCAATTACAGTATTAATGGAATTGTTTCTGGCTTTTTGTTAAAATGAACAATGTAACCATAGCCCTTTTTATTTGGGACTTCTGGTGCACTAAGAGTTTTCTGGGGAATAGTTTTAGGATTATAATTGTTGCTTGACACTATTGTAAGATGATGCAAACTTTTAAGAGGTGAGGCTTTGTGGGAGATATTTGTGACATCCTCCCTTTTTAGGTAAAAACATATTTTCCAAAGTGGCTGTACCAATTTATATGGCCACATTTTTACCCAGATCTGATTTCATGAGACTTTCTAATTTTTACCAAGCTGGTGGGTATAAAAATGTATTTCATTATAATTTGAATTTGTACTGATAGGGAAAAGTTTTAGACAACTTAGTAGACTGAACATTAAGGTAGTTGTAGAAGCAAAATAAGTAATGTATTCCTTTAAGATTTGCTTTTCCCATAACGCTTCTTGTTTAAGGTGATGGTTATCTGATTTTTTAACCAGTAACTTCATTATAGTTAACATTTTAACCTAACAAAGTCACAATGCCTGGGTAAATTTACAATGTATATGTGCTTATCTCGTGTCTGTGACTTGTAACTAGGAACTGGAATTGTATTTACACAACAAAGACCACTAGGGATGAGATAATGTCTAACAAAGGTATAAAAAAAAGAGACTAACAAAGAACGCAGCAGCACGACACTGACCAGACCATTTTCTGGTGCTCCCACTTGCTTACAAGTAGAACTTTTATTATTTTACCCGAATTCTGTGTCTCTGTGTATTTTTTTCTGCGATTTCCAGAACAGTACTTCCTTGGTTTCTAATTAATTTTTTCTGTGTTTATTATCCTGCTCTTGTTTTCATTTCTAGCAAATGCTGCCAACTCATTCCTGCTTTCAGGTTGGCCTTAAAATTAGGCAAAAGAAGCACATCTATGTGCATTTTGTGATATATTATCTCAGCATTTTCCATGGCAGTCAGCTAACGCCATTTGTTTACAGCCTGCTCTTCTCTTTTCTATTATGATTTTCTAAGTTTAGCTGGTCACAGAACACATGTAACATGAGTAAGGATAAAAAGCAAGATGGATGAGTTGGAGAATGCAGGAGATGAAAGCAGAATGCTCCTCAGTGGTCTGAGGCCAGCCAGAAGCTGGCTAGGACAGATAAAATAATGGCAGCTGCCCTCTTTCTGAGATGGATGACATGATAAGAACCATACTAGTTATTTATGAGATTTATTTCTAACCCTTGCCATAATTCTCTAAGGTTTTCCCTATTTTATAGTGGAGGAAACTGAAGTTCAGAGGGCAGAGAACACTTTGGAGTGCTCAGAGGAAGTCTTTTATTCATTGAGTACTAAGCACCAAGTGTGCATAGAAAACTGTATATAGTAACAGGATGTTTGCTATTTACAGAATGCTGCTAATATTTTATGTTGGTAACTGGGAGTATACTTCCTCTGACGATGAAGGAAAACTAATACAGTGAAAATGATTACCACTCAGGGTGACCTAAATCCCACCCAGTTTCTGTCTCCTATAGTGAAAGGCCTTGGAGGTCCTCACTCACGGTATAATATACATGATAGGGACAGGGCTCACCTGTAGAACTGCCTTAACTCTGCCTTACAAGTTGAGTGATTCCCACAGTTTGTGCCTTAGTTTCATTATTCGTAAATGGGGACAGTATTAATGCCAACTTTAGTGTATTTTTTCCCCATGGCTGCTGAAATGACTTATTACAAACTTTAAACTTAAAACACAAGTTTATTCTCCCACAGTTCTGGAGGCCACAAACCCAAACTCTGGGTTTGGGTTTCACTGGGCCAATATCCAAGTGTCCCAGGGCTGCGTGATAAGCTAGGGGCCTATCCCTCCCTGCCTCTTTCAGTTTCTGGTGGCAGCTGGCACCCTTGATTTATGCCTGCCACACTCCAAACTCTTGCAGGTAGGGTCCATCTGACAATCCAGGACAATCTCCCCATCTCAAAATCCTTACACTGCAGAGACCCCGGTTCCACATAACAGTAATGTTTACAGGTTCCAGGGTTTAAGGCTTGATTATCTTTGCAGGCCATTATTGCACCTAGTACACTCACAGTTGTTATGTATTATAAGCAGCTAAGTTAGATAAAATTAAGGTACAGTCAGAGAGGGACTAGGCTCTCATGTCAGTGCAGAAGACACGAACACATCAAAACTGGCTGGAGGTGCATTTGAAGCCAAGAGCTCAAGATTATACTGTAACTGATACCACTCTTTTGAGATTTCCATAGAAATAGACCATTATTTTATGAGGGGCGGGCCACCCTCTCCCACCCACTAAAACTAAGACTAAGACTACTAAACAAAGACTAAAGACTAAGACTACAGATTATTAACCAAGGTTAATGTCATCTATATGCCCTTGCTATGTGCCCCCTTCACAATTGATCAATTTTATCTAAGAAGCTATACTTGCAATCTTATTGATTACAGTTTGACCCATGTTGTATCTACCTCACGACTTTGCGTATAAAATATTCAGGTATGATCGTGGGGGCAACCAACTCAGGATCCCTCTTGTCTCTTAGGAGCTATTCCTAGTTCCCATTCTCCAGCTCCCAACTGTGTGTGTACCTCAGTCCCTTGAGCACCTGTGGTCCCCTTGAGTGCAGTCTATCTCTCAATAAATTTTTCCCACACGTAACCTCCATTGTTCCTTGGAATTCATTCTTTGATTTCAGGGAACATGAACTCAGCACATCAGTTTGGGAGTTATATCTCTCCTATATCGTAAGGAGGAAATCTGCTAGTGTTGGCAGTGGGCAGAGCACAGCATTTGACAGCATAAAATGGTGAGAAGACAGTCTTCTCAAGGTTAAATAAAGCTACATGGATACAGGTGAAAGAAAGATTAATTAATGAAGTAAAAAGAGGTCTGGCTGGCCATGATGGCACAGGTAATTCCAGCACTCTGGGAAGCTGAGGCAGGAGAATTACAGCATTGAGCCCAGTTTGGGAAGTTAGTGAGATAGGAGATTAGGGCATGGCAAAGCTGGCTGGGGAAGTAGGCATGATCTGTTAATTACAAGAAGCCAGACACATGCACAGAACAGTTCCCAAAGCTTGGATGTGCAGGTTTTCAATAGGATGGCCTGGACCTGATGTCAGCCTGAGGTGTGGGATCCAAGCACTGCCATTCAGTGATAAAGGACCTCCAAATGATATAGGGGAAATAACTCCCAACTTGCTAGATGTCCAAATACACTGAGTTTGTGTTCCCCAAATCAAAGAATGAATTCTGAAGAACAGAGGTTAACAATAGGAAATGTTTATTGAGATAGATAGCTCCAGGGAGGCAAGAGGGGACCCTAGTGGTTTGCCATGGACTCCACTTTACAGAGGAAGTTTCATAGAGAAAAATCATGAGGTGGGTACAATGTGGGACAAAACTGTGATCAACCAATAAGATTACAAGTATAGCCGCAGAGGTAATATTGATTCAATGGGGAAGCAGGTCAAATGGCAAGTGTACATAGAAAGAACAAGGCCCTTTTTTGGAAGAGATTAATTAGGAGGTCCTGCTCACCCCCTGGGTGACTGATGCCCATTAGGCTTTACTGGACCAGGTAATATTGATTATAGTATATTGTTTATTCCTCCGGAAGGTATTGTCTTGAGGCCTGGCCTTCAGTGAATATGCCTCTAGCCACAATTATGCAATGTCTTATCTTCTGTACGGACTCCTTCAAGGGCCTAGCCCTGTCTAATTATCTATATATTTCTATCTAACCTAGCTGTCTGTAGTATCAGGACCTGTATGTAGGAGATTTGGACAGCATAAAAGGATACACTGATGCCATTAAGAGCTTGCTATCATAACTTTTCCGATAGCCCATGTTGCGTTTCCCAGCTGTAGCGTACTTTTATCTTTGCGTTTACCCTCTTTCTCTTTACTTGGCCCAAGCTCGCTCTGCAGAGCCAGTTTCACCCTCACGCTTCACTTTCAAACATTGTTACTGCTTTTTGCTCATTTCGTTCAATTCTTGGTTCAAGAGGAAAAGAACCTGGAATCTAACTCCAGAGGGAGAAGCGTGCATCCCAGAAACCGGTAACGTTTAGCTGGCAAGCCACTGTTAGAAGCAGGTACCCCATAACATTAGTGCTCAGACTCTATCACAAAGTAAAAAAAAGGGGGGGGGGAGTGGCAAGGTGGGAATGACGCTCAGCGAGAAGGTCCTGGGTTCATTCGCTAGTGCCCCAAAACAAAAATAAAACCAACCAACACACAAAACTCCACGCAGATCTCTCAGCGTTTGTATCTGTACTTCTTTTCTTTCTTTTTTTTTTTTTGGTACCGGGGATTGAACTCACGCTCAGGACCTCACGCACAGTGCCACTGAGCTAAATCCCCGGCCCTGTACTTTCTCTTTTCTAGGAACCCTGGGACCCCAGCAATTCGCTTCTGGTCAGCTGCAGAAACACTACCAACCCTGGCCACTGCCAGTTCAACATACTCACCCCTTTTCATGCCCCACCCACCAGCTTCCCCAAGCCTCCGCGCTCTGGCAGTATCCGGGTCTTCAGGGTCTATCCACTGTACTGCCTGTCAAATTCTAGATAACTTTATGTAATTTTGTCTCTTTACTAAGCTTTTAAATCACTAGTACAATCCATCATTTTACTTCTCTGTGCAGTCGCAATCTGTTTATGTTGATGTGAAAAAAGGGATTAGAAGTCGCTGTAATCAGACAGGCTATATTTAAGACAGTCCGTAAAACGGCGGCGGGGTCCTACGCCCTTCCCTCGCTAAACCCAGGTTTGCCGGCCGCGCACGCGCAGTGGACCTGATTCGCCATGCCGACTGTCAGCGTGAAGCGCGATCTGCTCTTTAAAGCCCTGGGCCGGACCTACAGTGAGTGTCCGCCCCGAATCTTGGGCTCCGCGCCTCTCCTCTGGGTCTGGGACGCCTTCCAAAATGGCATCTTGGCAACATTCACGCCGCCTGCACTGCAGGTTTTGGCTTTGGGACTGACGAGCGAGGTGGCTCGGCCGCTCAGAACCCGCTCCGCAGCGGCCACAATTGCATCACCTGCATGTGCCCGGCGCTTCGTGTCATTCATTCATTCATTCATTCATTAGCATCGAGCGCCTGCTGCGCGCCCAGCTCCAGCGTTGGTGCCAGGGTCGGGAACAGGAAGAAAGCTCTGGGTTGCATCCCGAGTGCAGACAGATGAGCGCTGTGGAAACTCAGTTTGTGAGGGGGTGAAGGAAGGCGTTTGAACGGGGGGGAGGGGAAGGCGTTCCGTCGGTCAACCGTTTATTTAATGTTTGTCGAGTGCCAGTTATGGGTCAGGCATCGTTCTAAGATCTTGGAAAGGCAGCTGTGCATATGACACAAAAAGGACCACATTTTCATTTGAAGGATGCGAACAGTAAACAACAAATGATTTGGGGAGAATAAAACTATCAAGAAAAAAAGCAAGATGTTAAGAGCAGCATTTGATAGGATTGGTAACACTGAGTTGAGACCTGAATGTTGAGTCTGTTCGATAGACTTTGTCGTCACTCTAATATGGTCTCTTTCTCAGTTCTAAAATCATAAACATTTTGGGGGAAAAAAGGGGAAATAGCAAGTAAATTATCATTTGCCCCACAGATGGAGCAGTTGAAATGACATCTGCTCCACCCCATAATAATCAGCTTGAATAAAGGCTGTAGCAAATAACTTAGATATCAAGATAACAAAGCCTTAAAATAAACCTTTCCCAATTTAATAACACAGCATCTCAGAATAAGATACTATTGTGAAAATAATGTTAGTTTTTAAAAAACTTTCCTAAGGGTATACTTTCAGACACCACCTGTTCTCTTTGAAAGTGAAGGTAATACCCTTCCCTTTTAACTTGGCTCTAATTCCTCATCTGCTTTTTATGCTTGTTGTATTTCTTATCCTAGTAAACCATAGTTTCATTAGTGTGATATGATATACCTGAATTACACAAGATGGTATGTGGTAAATGCTTGTTCAAAACCACCTAGAATCAGTTCCCAGGTCTTACTTTTCCAGTTAGGAAAGTAAGACCTGATTCAAATTTTTTAAAATGGTGAGCTTTGTAGCTCATGTGTTGAGCTATCACCTGATGTTTTAACAGCTTCTTCCTTTTTTTTTCTTTTTTTTTAACATGAGTGATTAAGTAAGCTTGACTTTGTTGTTTGTTTTTTGACACAAGGGCTTGCTGTATAGTTTAAGCTGGCCTTGAACTTACTGTGAATCCTAGACTGGCCTTTAACTTGTGATCCTCCTGCTCCTGCCTCAGCCTCTCAAGTGCTAGGATAACAGGTGTGCAACACCATTCCTGGCTTGATTTTCTGTGGAGAATGTATGTTTAGCTACTAGTCTTTTGAGAATTTCAGTCAGAAAGACTGATGTTATTGAGATGTACTTCAGGCCGGTTAGAAATAATACTCCTCAGTATTTTATTTTTATGGGAACGGGGTTTGAGCCCAAGTAATTTACAACACCCCTAACCCCTTTTATTTTGTTTATTTATTTTTTTTTTTGGAAGGCAACAAGGCACAGACTTTATTCACCTGGGTGCAGGTCTACTGAGCGTGAGCAACCTGTCAGTGGTGAACAAAGAACAGGCAGGGATTTTTATAGGTGAAGGGGAAGGGGTCTGGAACGTACAGGGGTCAGAGCAAATATGTGTGGTCGGGGTCCATGCAGCAGTCAGGGCAGTTGTGTGGGTGTTGACGTTGTGCTGTGCTTTGTGGTCTTTTCTCCTTTCTATAACACCGTTCTTCTGTGTGCAAGGACACTGAAGACCCTGTATCTAGTTGGAGATGGCAGGGCATATGCCTAGTCTTCAGCCGCTTGAAGGAGTGGATTGTCTTTGCTGAGCTGCAGTTTTTTATAGCTGCTAAAACTAACTGTCCTTGGGCACCTCGCTGGCTCCATGTCTTGGCTACTGTGAATTGTGCTGTAGTAAATGTGGGTATATGGGTATCCCTGTAGCATGCTGGCTTCAATGCCTGCTAGACATCCGAAATGCCAAGTTTGTGTTCTATAAACTTGAAGAATGAATTCTAGGAAAAATGGAGGTTAAGAGTAGGAAGAATTTTTTTTTTTAATTTTTAAAAAAAATTTTATTAGTACAGGTTTGCAGTACATAATGATTACATTCATCGTGGGGAATTGGTACCTGTACATAACGAACACATCTTAATTCCTTTTACTTCCTCTTCCTCTCATCTCCATCTATCTCTTGGTACCTTTTCCGTTTGCAAAAAATCTAGCTCTCTGTCACCTATTATCTATCTTTTAACTTGCTCTTTAAATTTTTTATACTTTAGGTTTCTCATATAAGAGAAGCCATTTGATATTTAAGCTTGTGTCTGATTTATAGTTTTTCACTTAATAGTATGGTTTCAAGGTGCCTCCATTTTTCTACAAATGACTCAAATTTATGCTTTTTTAGAGCAGAGTACTACTTCATTGTATATAAATACCATATTTAAGAAGGATTTATTGAGAGAAAGATAGCTTCTGTGTAAGAGACAGAAGGGATGACATAGGGGGAATAGATGTTACTCCCATCATGCTAGATGTCAGATATGCCACATTTGACTAAGGAACAACAGAAGTTAAGAGTAGGAAAATTTATTGGAGAATAAGAATTAGGAATAAAAATAGCTCCTGAGAGGCAGGAGGGGTCCCAAATGTGTTGCCACCCCTTTTATTTTTTATTTTCGGATAAGATTTTGCTAAATTGCCTAGGTTGAGCATGAACTTTCCATTCTTCTGAGTAGCTGGGATTAGAGGCTGGTGCCACTGCACCCAGCTTCATCATGAGTTTATACTGTGTTCTTTCTAGAAACTTTTTAAGTGCCACTTGAGTTAAGGTCAGCTGGAACAGTATGTTTAGTAAAGCATTTGGATCCATCTTGTCTCTTTCCATTTTTCCTTTGTTTTCTTATTTCTAGAAAAGTGTCTCACTCATGCATTCCTATCCACATTCTCTTACTTTAGTCCCTCCAAGGGTCACCATCTGTTTACCTGAAATTCTATTATTTTTTCCAGTCACCACCACCCCCTTCACAGCTTTTCTTATCAGGGGTATTCCTCTCTAGCTGTTGCTTATTATGGTTACTTGGTTCTTCTGCTTCCTTTGGAGCAGTTTTGTTTTTCTACATTATTCCTGCCTTTCCGCTCGTGTAGTTTCCTTTGCCACTCATTTTCTTGTTAATGGATTATCACTCCCCTTCAATTCTGGCCCTGTCTTGGCTTGGTGTAATTGTTGTCGATACTGCCAGAGCCATGTGAGCATATCATACAAACCCCTGAGGTAAGATCTGTTGTTTTGTTGGAGAAAATTGTTAATCATTTTATTCTTGGTTATCCTTTGCATCTAAACACATAAAGTACAGCTGAAAACCTAATAATTCAGATTCAGTATAGTGTAATTATTCTATGCAGTTTGGCTAATACTCATTTAATTGCCTATTACTGCATAACAAATTACCCCAAATTCAGTGACTTAGAACTACTTGCTATCTTGTTAGTTTCTCTTTGTTGTTGTTGTTTTAAGGTAGAATCTCACTGTGTAGCCCAGGCTGGCCTGGGAACTCACAATCCCCCAGCCTTAGCATTTTTTTTTTTTGTATATCCTTTTATTTGTACATTTTAGATGTATAATATAATGACATTCATCATTGGAGATAGGCACCTTTACATACTGTCTTGGTTCTCATTTTTTCCCCCTTCCCCTGCCCTCCCTTCAGCCCCTCCATCCCTCCGTATTTACAAAGACTTTGTTTCCAGGTTTTCATTTTCTCATATTATTAATTCCATTCCCTTCTTTCCTTTCCCCTACCCCTCCCACTTCCCCCTCCCCTTTGCCCCTTTTCTCCCTACTTCACATTATCTATTCTACCTTTTAGTCCTTACTTACACTTTCAGTTTGCCTTAGCCTTTTAAGTGATAGGATTACAAGCACCCACCCAGCCTCCTATGTAGTTTCTGATGGTCAGAAATTGGGGGGTGATAGTCTGGCTGAAGCTCTCTCATCAGATTGTAGTCAAACTGTCAGCCAGATCTGTAGTCAGCTCAAGGCATCACAGGCTAGAAAATCTGCTTCCAGGTTGATTTAAGAGGTTGTTGCAGGCCTAGTTCCTTTCTGATTTTTGACCGAAGGCTTCAAGTCCTTTCATCTTGGCTTTTCCATAGGATTACTTACACAGTGCTATTTTATTTATCCCTGAATGAGAAGTCTGAGCGAGCAGGTAAATGAGAAAGCTTCAGTTAAGCAGAAGCTTCAGTTTTTAATACTTTGTCAGAGATGATACATCATTCTTTTTCACATTGCTCACACAGACCAATGTTGACTCTGTATGGAAGCAGACTGTATGAGGAGGAAGATATTGGAGGCTGATTGCTACAGTCCTCCTTCTGGTCCTCAGTGATTCCTGTTCTCATACATGTAAAATACAGTCGCCCTCTGAAGTGTCATTGTAGTGGCAGCTCAGAATCCAGAATCTCATCATCTAAATCAGGTTCCGAGGTGGGTGAGGCTCTTCAGACATGGTTCCCTGAGTAGCTCCTTGAATATGTCTAACTCTTTGCCTAAGAGGCTCAAGAACCAAGGCAGCTGCCTCAGACACATCAAACAGACAATGGTGGGATGGATTTAGATGTAGGATAACTACTGTAGACATTCCGCTAAAAGGAGGCGAAAGTGGAAGATACAAAGGAATCATTTGTCTGTGACAATTCCAAAACTGAATGACAAATGTTGGATATTCTTTTTTTTTTCCTGGATTTTGGAGACAGGCTCTCACTATGTAGTTCAGGCTGGCC